AAATTGAATAAATTGTTTTAAAAGTCTGTATTTCAGTTATATCCAATGGTTGAAAGGGGCTGGATAAACCAAATCCACGGGCGCCCATCCTCAGATTTTTTTTTTTTTACAATATTTATCTATTTTTTTTAACCAAAGCAAGTATCTAAAAGGTTAACAAAAGGAGTCTCGGAATACTGGAGAGTATATATGTTAAATCAAAATGTGACAACGACACATCTAGTTGGCCACTTGTTATATCTGACTCTCTGTGTATTTTACATTGTATAGATTTTACATGGTAAGTTGAGAATATTTAGAGCTTTCTTAGTCATCTTTAAAACAGCATAAATCTGTCTCAAGTTAATCCACTAGTGTAGATTTAGGACAGCAATATAAACAGACATGTATCGACTGACATCATTAAATAGTATTTATTTCAATAGACAATATCTAGTTTTAGCTAGGGTGGTTTAGGCATATTCTCTTGTGGAAGCATAATGGTGAAATACCCCAATACAAAAATCAGAAAACATATCTTTTGCAAGACGGTAAAAATGGATTTTTCAAGAGCTATCCATTTCCTTTAATTACCGAAAACATATCATTCGGGTAAATTTAAGATCTCCTCGTTGGCTCAGAGAGATCGAGATGATACCTTTTGATTTATAACTCGGTTTCCCCTGTCAGTGATGCAAGTCGGTGGGGCATCTAGTCGTTCGGATGGGACAATAAACCGAGGCACTATGTGCTGCAGACAGTAAAAGATCCATTGACATTTGGAAGTCAAAAAAGAGCAGGCTTATGTCGTTGTCCTGGAAAAATTTTTACAGGGTGTTACTCGTCTTTAGGAAAAAATTAGGTGCAGAAAAGTAGGCGTAAAACTCCATTATTTTCATTTCTTTTCTTGCCTTCACAGGCGATTTCTGATATCTATAGGGCTTCAGAAAAGCCGACGTTTTGACGCATACAAATACAAATTTCGACTTTCGAACGCTTAAATCCCCGAAATCCAACAACTTGTAGTCCTCTTTCTAAATGTACATATTTCACAAACGGGTTCGGAAAGTTTCTGTATGTCCTTCGCAAGTATTGTTGTAAGATCAGAAGAAGATATCAAGAACATAAAAATGTCCCTCATTAATCTTTTGTCAGATTTAGATATCAGATTGATCTTACAGTTTAATCTTTTCAACTTAAAATATCATCCAGTGATCTTTGGGATTAACCCCTTGTATCCCTCTGTCTTTAACCCCTTATCAGCCCTTTCTTTCACCGCGTATCTCTATCTGGAAGTTAACTTGGGATTGGGAAACATTCGTTCCGTTTTTTAAAAGCTTTTATAGTCTTCAGGGTCTAACGACAGCCCTCTTGAACGATCGTCAAATTAATCTTTTATCGTCTATATCAAAAAGAAAACCTAATAAAAAAAACGGAACGACAATTTTAATAAGTCTACTTGGGATTTGTAGTTATACGAGCAAGAAAATATATTTAATCGTCGTTATGCATGCTTGATACTTCTGAAACATTTAAATTTATACAAAATATTTCCCTTAAAGGGAGAAGACTTGTTGATTTAAGGGAAGGGACAAGGGAATTGATGGAGTAGTAGAAAATATAAATTGCTTGTATTTAAGCCCTCAAAAACATTTTGGCTCATACACCATGAATTGCATCCATGAGCATCTATTGAGTGGCATAACTTATAGTGAGTTGCTGCTTTAGTTACAAGCGCAGGTAAGAGGGGCTGACATGGAAAAAGCGTCTAGTCGTTCGGATGGGACAATAAACGAGGCCCCGTGAGCTACAGACAGTGCACGTTAAAGATCCCTCGACAGTTGGAAATCGAAAAAGAGCAGGCTAATGACGCTGTCCTGGCAAAATTTCCCTCATGGCACCTTGCATGGCGTTGCCCGCCTTCATTAACCCACAAAGTGCAGAAAAGTAAGACGTAAAACTCCATTCATACATTCATATATTTTAGTTACCAGCGAGTGAAGTAAGGTCAAACCAGCCTTGGTGGGCGTATGATAGATTATTTTAAATGTAGTCTGTATTCTTTAAATGTAGGTTACTTCCCTTGTACCACAAACCTGTGACACCATATTTAGAAGTGCGTTCCATAGCCAAACTAATTAAATAAGCACAGATAATGTGTTAATCAACAAAGCTGTTAAATTTGCTTAAAAAGCACATTTATACCTAACTGAAATTTAAGTGATGTTTGATAAAAGCACATTTCATTTGCGAACTTTACAAACGGTCACACAAAGACACTTGTAGAAAATTGCGAATCTTTACAATCGTTCACTGACTTTTGGAGGACAGTGGCGCAGCCAGGTTTACGTCGAAGGGGTGGGAGTGGGCGAAATATCTGAGATTGCCCGAATTTCGAACCTAGTCATTAGATTTTCGCCCGAAAAACCAATTGTCTTTAATAATATATTTCAAAATTGTCATTGATTTGAATTCTACAGAAAATGCAAGCAACAGTAGTGTGTTCACACAATGTTTCCACCACTTCCGATTGACACAATAATTGTTATTGAACTTTGACCTTCGATACATGTAAAGTATAATATAATTTGAATTTATCTGGTAGACACTCATACGTCTATTGTCATAATGAAGTTACAAAACATAGCACTAGTATTTAAATCAAACTTTATTTTATTCATTACAAACTAGCAGAACGAAAGGTGGCGACTATCCTGTGGTTAATAATTAATCAGAACAAATAGAACTCATTAATTACCACTAATTAAAAAAAAACTCGAGTGAAAAATGGATATCTTGGCATTATATCCTAGCATTTTGATCTTTTATAACAGGGATTTTTAGCTTAGGGGTAATTTTGAAATTTTTGGCGCTCTGTAACCTATCATAAGTTTTTTTGGACAAATATAATTTAAGTCTTTTTTATTCAGTCAGGCTATTCTCCGATATAAAAAAATAAGAATTTATAGGGGGAAGGTGGTAATGCAACCAATCAATGATCCTGAAACGGGTTATAGAAACAAAAAGGCTGAAAACCTGTGCTATAAAGCCATGCGCTACGAAATATTGAGACATGATTACTTGTCGAAAAAGTCTGGTAACTTATTTGATTACACTGGATGACCGAGAATATATTTAAGAGGGCAGAATATTGAACTCGGTTGATTGACGTCAAATATAGCTTTATATCTGATTTCCCAATAAAAACCATGGTTGAAAGTCAAGGCCTGGCAAATCAGCACAAACTACCATTGGATTTCTAAAATAAAACAATAACAGATAAATAGATTATGTGTATACATCAATTAAAATATTAATATGACAAGTTTCACCAAAATCGCGACATTTATCTCATTCACCGATCAATTCTACCTGTCTTAGTCAAATGAAACACTCTCCTAACAAATCTGCATCCAACATTGACACCATGTAAACATTAACGTTTGTAATCAGCAGCAAATGATACAAACTCCAGAGAAACAAATGTCTGGCCATAAGAAAGTATAATATTGGACATTCGCTTAAATCAATTTATGTTCCTACGTCTCACGGATTGTCTGTGAACCAAAGGACAAACAGAAGCTAGTGTAATGAATGCCCACACTACGTTAGGGTGGGGTTCATGGGGGCTGGGCCCCAGCTAGTAAGAATTAAGCCCCGGCAAAACATTGTTCAGTTCAGCAGAGATTGATTTATTTGCAATGTCTTTGTACAAAATCAAAAAGATATAGATTTTGATACGTTTTTAGCAGCTCAAAATTGTCATAAATGATTTCTCTGGGCCTTTGATTCTTCAAATTAGTACAAAATCTGAGACCCAGCACCAATTCATTCCTGGTGATGGGCTTGCCGCACAATTATGTTGGTACGTTAGAAACTATACATAAATGTTTTCTGAGCACATACTTGGCAACTGGTAAATTAGGTAGAAGGGATGGTAGGTCGACTAGTGAACCAATGCACTTCAACAGATCCGTCGAAGTAAACAAATTTACCGTCAGTAACAGCTGTGATCAACTGGTTACTCGCAAACTCAGTCTGCAAAGATCTTTAGTCTGATTCTGATCGTTGAACTTTCCTGGTGTCAAAACTGTATAACAAAATCCCTCTATAATCCAATCAATCCACGAAACTAAGTAATAATCCTTTCACTTAAGTAATTTTGAAACACGCTAAGAAGCGGTTTTCGATAACCACATAGTTAAATGGATATATCCTCTTTCATAGAGATTCTATTCTTCAGTCATGACACCTAGTAAATCCAACTGATGAGATAAGTCTCATTGACCAAGTTTGAGATTTAAAATTTTATGTCCATTTTATGAGATAGGATTCCTTTAACTCTCCGATCTTACAAGTCACGAGGTCGACCTCGGCAATACTTTTAAAGAAAAAACACCAAACTTACGATGGAGAAGTAACTCGAAAAGGATTTTCCGGTATTAAAGACAAACCAAATCCGTCGCAGAGTATTTTTGCTGCAGACATAGCTTTGATTGATTTTAACTGACCTGAAAGGGAGAACAAGTTTTTAGGTTTAGTCGATGAATCTCTGATCATAGACAAACCAGATCATACCATAACAGTCATGTTTAAAGTAGGGCTTTAAAATCAGCCATATATACCGAAACATTTGCCTCTATTCCACCCTCTGATAGTTTTTTTGTGAAGTTTTTCAGCTGTTGATAACTGTCAAAATATCTATCAGAGGCTAGAGTGAGGCAGATGTATCGGACTACATGCCATACAGCAGATAAAAAACCCCATTAATATCGTGGAAGCGAAAGTTATTATTTGAGAAAACAATAATGCAAGAACCAAAAAGATTTTCATGCTACGGAATTGGCTCATTAAAACAATTATTGAACGAAGCCATCTATTGTAAAGTTGCTACATCTTGCTATCCATTTAGGTTTTATGCATTGGTAAATTGTTTTAATACTAATTCTTGATTTGTCGATGCGCACGATTTTTATATACATACCTTCATTGAAACCTTTCTTAGGATCTGCGGACTCATACCAATGACTGTCTCCAAATTTAGTATCTCTGAATTGTCTAGCAATAAGACAAGAGAAGGTGGGACCCAGTAATGATCCCGGAAGTGGAATTTCTACCATACCACCAACAAATACATCAACATCGTCAATATTGCTACAATGAAAATTCAAGTTGAATCAAAACACGAATCTCCTGATTTTTCAATTGCAGACAAACTCCATACCGGATTCTGAAACTGAAAATTGAGTTCAGCAGTTCAATAAAGTAATTAAACTGTAGCTATTTGAAGAGATTAAAAATTCTAGCCTTGGTATGAGTATTGTGGATACCATTTCTTTTGCTCGTCAGATTTCTGATGTCTATGAAATAATAACTCGATCAGATTATTTTAGCGATGATGACGTCACAATTTAGTCACAATTTTGTTAAAGCCTGTAAACACTCTAGAAAATTAGTAGTAATTATTACTGTACTGCCAAATATTTTTATTTAAAATCAAAGCTGCCATTGGGCGTATATTATCTTATTACGTTGATCTATTTTATCCAATGAAAACTCGCAGTCCCATCCTCAAAACTAAAACTGGCCGTTGACCATAGATAGGGAAATCTAGTGTCTAGGATACTACTCATAAAAGCTTGAAAACTACATTTAAAATGCATTCTGATACTAAACCTGCTACTGAAAACGACACCTTTTTGGATACTTAAATCAAATAACATTATGTACTTACTGGTATACCGCTTTCAGAACGTTAGCAGCTTCCATTGCATAAAAATGTGGCAGACGTGGTAGACCACAGTGTCTCCTAAACGTATTGTAAGATGGTAAACCATGATCACGACCTCTTTGGATAATCTGAGCAACTAAATCAAAAGAAATGTTTCCACTTTGGAAGTAATGATCCGTTAACTGTTTGGAAAAGAACCGATCCATCGGTTCTCCAGCAGAAGACATCATGTAGACAGCAACTTTTTCAGTGTCTAGGAATAGGAAATTTTGATTGTTGAACAAGTCCATCAAGGGAGTCTCCGTTCCGTCAAACTCGATGGAACTAGGTGTCAGTGAGTGAATGAACTGGAAAGCGGCTGTCGAGAAAACGTTGGAGATTCGAGGGTCTGTAAATTCTTCATAACCGTATATTCCTTCATTGAGTTCGTTATTCTTAAGCGTCTCTGCGTTGAGAATTTCTGGTAGGAATTCGACATATGTAATTCTCTGTAGATGAAAACAGAACACATAAAAAACAATATGGATAGAGTCAGATGACAAACGACGTCATCTGGAGCTCTCACCAATAATAACGAATGATTTGAAATTCCTAATATACGTTCCAGGCATTATTATATGCTTGCTACTTGCATTTTCTTTCTGATATGGCAATGGTATACAATAAAGTTTTTGAAATTTGAACCCTACGGCACACCTGTGTGAGCTTACTCATATCATATGATTGAGCAGTTGTTGCGAAACCGTAAGCTCTTTTGGATCTGAATGTCAAACGACAGACCAAAGTGACCACATAAAACTACTTCAAGTACACAATATGTAACTTAGTTTTGGGCGATGATTTGGAGTAAGCACAGACCTGAATAAAGGCGTTGATGATTTTCTTGGTTTCCTCAAATATTTTGTCTGCATCCCAACCGGTTTCGATAAGATGTCCAGCAATGATGTTATGAAAATTCACCATAGCAAGAGTTACCATGGCTAATTCTGGTGATTGGTTGACTCTTTCGTCACCTAATAAAAATCTTCATATAGTTATAAATATTTTAGATATGCTTTCATATTGAGTGGATTTATTTCTTTTGGGGGAAGGGGGGGAGGTGTAGTTTACCTTCCAAAGTACCAAAAAAATCCCCAAAACAACAAACAAATGGAAAAAGTACGTCTTACGTCTTGATTTTACAACCATGAAGGAAAGTTTACCATGTTTCAACCTACACTTTTTGGATTTCTAATTTCCAATGCTTTGTATCACCAAAGTTTACAAGGCATATACTGCATCAGCAGAAATAGAATTTACCTGAGGCGAAACAATGCTCTGCATTGTTCGAAACACAGTCTTCTGTTCTACCCTCAGGTAACAGTTCACCGGACGAAACTTTCATCATACCTGAAAGGTAAAATGATAAACCAATTCAATTGTGGCAATGATCATAGTATACGTTTCGTTACTGCCACATTGCTTTTACATTTGAAAAGATGGAATTGATGTGTATCGTTATGGGGAAAATAAAATCATTAATTATTATAATTATCTGTTATTGTAGACGGATAGTTGAACGACATTTAAAATACATCAATATCATAACATGATTGTCCAACTGTGCAGCCATGGTTCGTTCCCATGGGACTTCCGTATCTTTACATAATATATCTTAGTGACCTTTCCCCTTCTTTGAGTTGAAGAACACGAAAATTGAAATGAATACTTTATCACGGATGGCCGGGCTTGGTTACAGTGGTTGGGGTACAAAAAAAAAACAAAACCGCGCACTGTTGGCAAAAACCTGCAGCTGATAACGATATAATGGTCTTCTATGCTTACACCTGTGGTGTTCTCTGGCACCCCCCCACGCCAGGGGATACTATGTGCGCCTAGTTCGCGTATTCTCTTAACGATCTTAGTGCTATAGAAGATCCCAGGGTCTTAACTGTTTCTATGATATCCTGGCGCTAAGATCGTTTCGAGAATGCGTGACCAGGTTGGGAACCAGGTTTATCAGTATTTCCTTACCACCCTCTGGTCCACGAAGTCTTTCGACTGTAGCTTGATCACTACCATAAACACCAGAAGCATCTAAAAACGGTGTGACCATATTTAATTGTTCTCTTGGTCTATCGATGCCTGAAAAAGTTCATAACATTACTTCGTTTAGTTTGAAAACATTCGCGTGTGTAGTTGATTCGGTACATCTTTACAATGTCATAGCAAAACGAACTCGGTCTTATACCTTGATATTAAAAGACACTTTTCTCGTATCATAAAAGTTTGTAAATGCAGAATTTTGACTAGTTTGTACGTACGCCAGCAAAATCAGCGGCTTTATCAGGAATGCCGATTTGTTGTTACAATTTCTGTTGAGGGCTCTGATAAGCTGTACAATCCCGACAAATTAAAGCCTTCCGTGATACGAGCAAAGTGCCTAATGATGTCAAGGTATAATAACTTGACATTCTGAAGATGAATGAATGCGATTTAAATATTTAAGCATTTGACATAATTTCAATGTATCAAGGGCTGAAACTCCAAAAAGTATTTGTTCCATCCTTGGCCTGTGCATTTGGGAGAAGCAATCTCTCTCTTCCCCAAAATCGAATTTTTCCAAGATCTCATGGATATAAACCTACATACCAATTTTATCAAAATCGGATAAAAAAAAAAACGTATCCTCTATAGCGTTCACAAGCCACAAAATTTCATAGTATCAAAAGTTGAAACTCACATTAGAATATTAGCGTATAAAAAGAAAGTGCCTGATCACATTTAGAAAAGACACCAAAGACAAAAAAAAAGAAACTAAATGGAAACGGTATTCCATTAGTTTGCAAAATGAAACTTACTGATGTCAGAATTAACAGCACGTGATCTAACAAACTCCATACAACGTGTTTTAAAATGTCTATCAGCTGGCCACTGGACTATATTAATAGGAAAACAATGCTGTGAACTGAAAGAACATAAAAAACCCATTTAAAAACAGTATAACTAAAAGAGGCTGAAATAGGGGAAAATATGTTTGGTCATTGGTCACGACACCTTAAAAAGATAGCTTGACAGGCAAGGTAATATACGCCCACTGGCAGCTTTGATTTTGAATAAAAATATTGACAGTACTGTTCCAATCACCAGTATAATATACAACTTTAAGTCTTTCAGTAAAAATCGGGCAAGAATTGTGCTTGATAGTGTTTACAAGCTAAAAAAATTGAATGTGGTTTTCAAAAACGGGGTCAATAACTCAGGGTTCATCCATGGATTTTAATTCGTCAAAATCCATTAAGAACAATTGTGTTTCCTAGAGTGTTTACTATCAATTGTGGACGGACGAACCGACGGACATGGGTGACGCCAATATAATTCATTCATGTAGGCATAGATTATATGTCTTTTTCAGGCGACATTAATTAGCTTCTGTGCATATAGTGAGATTTCTGCCTTGATAGGCTGTAAGGAAAATATCTCTCTTGTTTGATATTTTCTGCCTCAAGAGGCAAGAAAATCACCGTGTGCAGGCGTCTAAGCTGCCAGCTGAGCTAGAAAAAGTATCTAACCAATAAAAACGCGTTGACTGATTACGTGGTATCATTATGGTAACCGTGCATGATGCAATTTTAGAAGATCAACTTCTTGAAAATGGCAAGACTATCCGTGTCTATACGCTGTTTTTTCTGCACAATTCCAAAACAATAAAATGAAACCATTTTGATCACTTACGTGACATAGATGCAGTCCGGACGTTCTTTGGTTGTTTTCGTTGGCGTACGGAATTCGTCGAAGATTTTCTAGTCAGACAATAGCTCAGACGAGATCTCTCGTCTGCGGTTAAATAAGTAATAAGAATGTTGCTCAGCTGACGGCCTCTAGAGGCAGGCACCTCAGCTCGTTCCTCTCGTCTGCGGCAGGCTTAATACAACTGCATAAACAAAGAGGGGAAATGAAGCAATTTAGCTATTAGATATTGGAGAAGAGTTTTAATCTTACCAAGTTTTGCTATTACTATAGCATGGCGAAATAGGATTTGTACAACATGGATTTGGATTCTCAGCTGAAAAAAAAAATATTGTAAAATATATTGTCGTAAGTAGTAATCATATGGAGAACGTTTCCAATATACAATATACGGTAATTTCGAGTACGAAGTAAATTGAAGAACCAAATACAGGTAAGATTGTAGAAATTTAAGGAATCATAGAAATCCATATAACATCTAATATGATTAAGCAGTAACTCGACCAATAGTTACGAGATCGTTTGACATACATTTGACACTGTTATAAATTGTTGAAACGTTGTGTACAATAAAACCCATTATCAGGAGGCATTATCCTCTCCGAAATCTGTCACAAAATAGCGTAGAATGATCTTACTTTGTTCAACAGCAGTAGCAGAAAGATCGTTGGAGATGAACTGTGCCCAGGCATTTAATATGAGTGAATGGTTAGACTTGGCATTACTGTCTGTATGCACAACTCGACTAATGGTTCTAGCACTGGGTAGATAGGGAACATAACACTTGTTCTGGCCTGGTACTCTCAAACATTTACCTCTTGTTCTTGGTAAACAATGCACTGAAAAGTTCAATTTATTAGTGAAAGACATCCAAAAATACGATGATTTTGCCTTTTGACATCCAACAATCTTCATAATTCGGAAAGAAATTGGATGCAAAAGCCGATATTTTTTGCTCTTTTGAAAAATAGTAAACGTGACGTGAGATATTCACATAAAATCGATCTTGGGTTTTCTGAATCTAGTTTGCTCGATCAGTCCACTAGAAACTGAGGGGCAGACTGACGTCATGGGTGGAAACTGCTGAGGTCTAATTCACATTTTGGCTACTCTGTGGTGGTGCCATAGTCGCAAGTCTCTCATAGAGCGTCTTAGAGGGTTCTCTCAAGAAAAATTTTTGAAAAAACGAATTGATTTTGTGCATTCTGAGATATATTTGGAGAAAAAAGGTAGACGTTTAGATTTGTTGAAATAAAGTGAGGTACAATAAATTGGGAGTACAGACCACTTTTCTAGGGGGGCAAATGCCTCACCTGTACCCCCACTGGCGTCGCCACCGTTTCCGACAGCCTCAATAAGTGTTAAATAGAGATAATTTAAGATTTACTTACTGTCAGAATAGTGGGGATTTAGATAT